CGGAGGCTGCCAGCCTCAGCTCGTGCCTTTGCAGGTGCCCATGAGCAATGGTCCCGGGGGGAGCAGCCCGGGGAAGTCCGAGGTGAAGCTGGAGTTGGCTTTCGAGTATCTAATGAGCAAGGACCGGCTGCAGTGGGTCACCATCACCAGTCCACAGGTAGGGCTGCCTGCATGCCAGGCTGGTGGTAGGCGAGGACAGGAGCAAGGGGGTAGTGTTGGTGCGAGGGCCAGTCTGGGCTCAGTGTGGAGCCGGGCACTGCTGGCCTCGTGACGCCTCTCCCTCGCAGGCCATCATGCTGAGCATCTGCCTGCAGTCCATGGTGGATGAGCTGATGGTGAAAAAGTCTGGAGGCAGCATCCGCAAGGTGAGGGTTGGGCTGGATGTGGTCTCTGGAGTGGGAATCGCATCCTGCCCCTGTGGCTCCTTGGGGCCTGGGGCAGGGCCTGCCCTCTTCGGGACAGCGCCAGCTGGAGGGCCCCTAGGGGCCACCTTAACCTCTGGAGCTGCCCATGGGGACCCCACAGCTGAGGCAAGCTCCTCCCCTGCAGATGTTTCGCCGGCGCGTGAACGGGGCTCTGCGGCGCTCGGACAGCCAGCAAGCTGTGAAATCGCCCCCGCTGCTGGTGAGTGGGACCCTGCAGCCCTGGTAGGGGAGACGAGCGCGACCGTGGGCTTCCCGGTGTTAGGCACCAGGATCCACCACCCCTTGAGGCGCTGCTGTCCTCTCGGCAGGGCTGGGGCAAGCCCTGAGGACAGCCGGGCCGTGGCACCCCACTCCCATAGACTTGGGATGAGAAAGGGGTCCTGGACCCGTCACTGGGAGCTGGACTCCCTGAGGGAGGAAAGGGATGGTGGCCTGGCTTCATTTTGGGAGGGTCAGTGGTGGCGGAGGGCAGGGAGAGGGGCAGGTGGCAAGTCCTGCTGCCTCAGCACTGCCTGACCGCGCTGTTCCTGCAGGACTCACCCGATGCCTCCCGGGAGCCGATGGCCAAACTCTCGGTGAGTTGCGCGTGGGTGCACCGGCGCCATCACCCTTGGACGGAGCAGGGGGAAGCGGGGGTCTTCTCTGACATCTTCCCTCTCCGCAGAGCAAGCTCACCTCTGTCAGCCTCCGAGGCATCAGCCACTCCAGCTCTGCTAATGACGTGGGCGCCAATGACTTCCACGGCAATTATGCCTTTGAGGGCATCGGCGATGAGGATCTGTAGTGCCCCCTTCCCAGGACAGCACCGGCTGAGGACCTTCGCTGAGGAATGTACGACCTGCAGACAGGTTGCAATCAACGTGCCTCTCACCTGCTACATCCACCTTCCCCACTCCCCTGGGCCGGGGAGCTCACCCCCAGCCCACCGTTGCCTTCGGGGCGGGGGCAGCTGATCTCCTCCTGCTGCTGGCTCCAGCTGGGAGAGGGCTTGTTCCCGGGGCGGCACCAGCCCGACCTGAGCAGCGTGCCCAGGCCGAGCTCTGGAGCGGTGTCGCAGAGCCTGGCCCAGCGCCGGGGGGCAGAGCTGCCCCCTCCCCAGCC